CGCCGCGGCCGCCACGATGGTGCGTTCTCCGCGGCGCGCGCGTGAGCCCGAGTGTGCGGGCTGACAGCGGCGGGGCTGCTCGCAACTTTGCCCCAGCGGCCGGTGTGCGCGACCGGAGCTCGGCGGCGGTCCGCCAGCAGCCCTGCCTTTCTGCATTTCGTGGCTTTCGGGGCGGGAGGCTGGAGGGAGTTTGCGACCACTTTGGCTCTTGAAAGTGTGCAGCGGGGGCTCTGTTGGGCTGGCCTCGCCGCTCGTGGGGGGCTGTTCGCTGAGGGGTGCGGGGTGCTTTGAGTTATGGATGCCTCGGCGTGTTTTCGTGCGGGCGTGTGTGTGCGTGTGTGTATGTGTGTGTGACGACGTCTCATTCTTGTGCATGAACCCCGTGGTAAGAAAGAACACGGGAGTTTGTGCCCATCAGCAGAGGCTGCCTGTAGTTTCCATTCCGCCTGGCACCGCGCTCCACACGCACACACACAGGTACACAAAGACTTCCTCGGCGTGTGCCTTTCGCCGCGGTACTTTCGGGGAGGGGGCTCGCCAGAACCCCGGGTCCCCATCCCAGCCACCTCCCCTTCCACGCCGGGAAAGCACCCCGGCATCCCCTCCTGATTGTCTCCTAATTTGTTACCGACGCGATTGTTGTCGTGCTTGCCGTGGTGGTCGTGTTCTTCCCTTTCCTGACCCCCTTCGCGACTAGGGGTAACATTCCGTTACAATCCCGGCCGCTGTGCAGCGGCGCCCGGGGCCCCTGCGGCCCGGCTCGGTGTGTCTGGGGGTGTGGGGTGTGCGCGCCCACGCGCGTGAAACGTGGATGCAGAGGGCACTGCCGTTTCCTTTTATGTGCGTTTCAAGGAGGAGGGAAAAAAAATGTCAGGCGCAATGTTGAGCAGCGAACGGTCGCCTTCCTGTTGTTCACGGCTGTCTCTCCTCCCCCTGCCCGCAGTGTGCCGTGCAGGTGAAGCTGGAGCTGGGGCACCGCGCCCAGGTGAGGAAGAAACCCACGGTGGAGGGCTTCACCCACGACTGGATGGTGTTCGTGCGCGGCCCGGAGCACAGTAACATTCAGCACTTTGTGGAGAAAGTCGTCTTCCACTTGCACGAAAGCTTCCCTAGGCCAAAAAGAGGTAGGGCTCGAATACAAAAGAGACTTGATAAAAAATGTCTTTGCTCGAGAGGAAACAATCGCGGGGCCCCGGCGCTCCCCGGGCCGTTCCCCGCCCCCCGCGCCTCGCTTGCCGGTCTAGCCTGGGACCCGGGGGCGCGGTGCCGTTCTGGCCAGGTCCCTGCTGCCGCCCGCCCGCCCGCGCGCGCGCAAGCGGTCGACTTGAGCTCCGGGAAAGTCAGCGCAGAGAAAGAACCGTCAGGTGTCGCGTGTTTATTCACCCCAGCCCTCTTGGGTTGCTGTGGGTCCTTTGGGGGAAGGTGCAATTAGTTACTGGGTTTGGAGCTTTGGAGAGTAGGGCTGGAGGGAATAAACAGTTTGCGTCTTTTCTTCTCCACCTGGAGAAATTGAGGTTTACCTGTGTTACTAGCCAAGAATGCATTGGAGGTAGTTATTGTTCCGTTTAGAGAAGTCAGTTCTCTAGGTTCTTCTGGCCTCAGTGTTTGAGGCACTAGGTGCCAGTTGCTGTAGACTCTCCCTTTGGGAGTTAGTCTCCACCTCTCCTCACCTCAGCCTGGATTTTACTAGTTGGGGGACTTATTAACACCCCCCCCCCCGCGGCATTTTACTGCTCCAGTAGATAGTGAGCACATTCTGGAGTGTCTTCTGGTTGGGACCCACAAGGGGAGGAGGGGGTTCCTTTAAGGTTGAAAGCTAAGTTTCAGGCAGTGATGCTGTTTTGCCTATCTCTTCAGTTTCCTCTACACCTTGATCCTTGGTCATAAAGTCGGATTGCATACTCTTGCTGAGGCTCTGTGGTCCCAAACATCTTCAATAAAAAGAGCCAGACAGTTTGGGGGGGGGGGCGCGGAGAGGAAAGGGGTGTCATGTAAAACGATGTTTGAAGAGGCTTTGAAAAATACTGTTTTCTCTTCCCTCCTGCCTCTGGAAAGCGGCTGTCTGGTTGTTTTAGTTGGATTACTGGAGGTAACAGTACAAATACAATAAGGTGCTTTGTTTGTGAGCAGCTTTATTTATCTAAGTCGACACAATGGTTAGTAGTTATCTTCCATTTGATCCGTAATCTTTATTGGCATCTAGAACTCCTGCAGTTTCTTAGAGTAACATCATAATAAATCCATTCTGCTGAGAGTGATGTGGAAATTATTGAACATTCAGGGGCCCGAATAAAGAAAGGAGAAAGGATGCATGCCTTGGAGGTGGCAGAGTTTGTGTTTATTTTTATTTTCCGTGCCTGTATAATGGGAGGTAGGATTTCATTTTTGTGCCTTTAATGGCTAGGCTTATAACTCCTTTCCAAAACTTGACCAGTTGAAATTTTGATGGGCTTTGTTGAATGGTTAAGAAATGTGTCCATCTTCTAGTAGAGGTAGGAGAAGATGCATGACTTATAGGAGGTAACACTTAGTATTTTAGCATTTTATATGAACATATAGACAGGTACTGTATTTTTGTATTTCCTCAAAGCCGTGGTAAGAATGTACATGGCCAGGCTGTCTGCAGATGCCTGGGGATGATGTTGGTTGGAATCCCTCTCTCCTCCCATGTCTGTTGAGCCACTGCAGAGTTTAAACAAAAGAAAGCACCTTCTGAGCTGTTTGGTACTCTGCTGCTGCTCACTTCAAGGCAAAATACACTTTTAAAAGCAGTATTTATTGTGTTAGGAGAATCAACTCAGTTGTTAGAAAATGTTGCTCTTCAGGTAACTTTGCTTGGGCACCTTGATAATTAACCAATTGGCATATAAAAATCAAAGGTCCCCTCTTTTCTATTTCCCACTGTTTCTCTGCTTCTGTGGGTGTGAGTGGTGATGCCACCCTGTTTTCCATACTGGGTGATTTTTCTGTCCAGCCTGGCGGGGGTTGCTGTTCCCATAGCACACACCTGCAAGGTGTGTTGAGCCCTTGATAACAGTGATGACTTCTCAATCTCTCTGGTGAGGGGTGTCTGTTGATTGGACTTCACAATTTCAATTATCAACTGTGGAGTTTCTTCTTTATGCAGTCGATAAGCCATTGTTTTAAAATGTTTATTTTTGGATTTTTATTTGTGTTGTGTGTGGTTCCCATGATGTGACAAGTCCTGGGAAAAATGCCAATTTCTATCGCCCAGGAGAGACCTTGTCATACTGTAATTACAATGATTCAGATTGCTAGAGATTTCACTGTTCATTGGGAATGGCGAGCTATAAACTCCAGCAACACCAGGCGTAATGTTCAATCCTGGGATCTATTTGTTGACTTATCAAATCTTTGAAAATGATAAGAACAAATGAAAACTAAGATCACCAGGCATTTACAAGGCTTTTTTCTAGTACCTTTCAAGGTGCTGTGTCTTGCTATATGGTGGATATAATTGATAGGATAAAGTTTAACTAATTGGAAATCAGAGGAAGTGCAGAAATGAATTTGAGAGAGATCGGAGTGCAGTGTGTTTAAGGGAAAGCTTATCCTCTGAACTGTTAGTAGTGACAAGTTAATGCCCTTGCATTACATACAGTAGCTAATAAGCTGAGGAACCCCAGATCTGGGCATGAACTGTTCAGCCATGAAGATGGATGAGTCCTTAGCTTTGTAATCCTTGGTTTAGAAAAGCAAATTGATTTTCAGGTTGATTTCCTTTACTTCACAATAATATTATGAGAACTTGTAGAGAAAGAAATTATAGTATTTTCAACTTGTTGCCAAATGAGAATTATATATACCATTTCAGAATTGAGCTAATTGGATTTGAATTAATGAGGTTTTTCTCTGTCACAAAGACGTGTGGGAGACCTTTAATTTAAAACTACTGGCACACAGTCCTAGAAAAAGAGATTTTGATGAAATAGTGAAGCCTAGAATATCCATTAGCTAATGAAGAATAGGCAGGTCAGAGTTGATGCATTTTCAGACTATCTATTTGCAGGAAAAGACCATATCTTATGTATTATTACCAAAGATTTATGCTGGTCTGATATGACTGAAATGAATAGTTATATTCAAAACATTCCATTTAAAATATTAATGTTTTCATTTTTAGTCAGGTCTAAGTTTTGGTGAACTCTCCTTCCAATTATACACATCCTTACTATTGCAATCTGTTTTATTGACATTTATGATGTGAAAGCTGTTACTTATTATTTTATGAAAGCTAATTTGGCCACTGGTATGATTTGATAGCTTTCTGTTTGTGCCTCTAGTCCTTTGAGTGGGCAAATAAAACATAATCAGTATACCCTTACAGCTAGCTCTCCTTTGGTTTAGGCATCTGTGATTAGCTTTATTATAGAGCTCTGATTTGTGCCTCTTAAGTAATTTGGACAACTTTTTTTTATCAAGGTAGCTAGTATTTGAAGGTTTATTTGGTTGAGGATTGGTATATATCCTGTATCTTTTGTCTTTGGAGGCATTTAAAAATGTACCAATTAAAGAAATAAGGATGGGTGAATGTCAGTCAGTTGCTTATGGTTCTGATGGGAATTACACTGACCAGCAAACAGGGTGAAGCTTCCCTAGCCACTTGACAGATGCATTGCTGAAGGAATGTCACCTACAGTGGTGAAAATGTCAGCTGGGTATGGAAAGTTGGGAGGCCATTTGGCTAAAATCGATTATGATTTCAAGTGTTTCTATCATTGACCTCAGCAGATCTACCAGGAATTTCCTAGTAGCTGTGACTTCCCAAGTATACAAACAGATCAACTATTTCTTGTGATGTTTTTAATAGCAAAACTTAGTAAGAAAGCCATAGAGGGGGACTTCAAATGAGTGCACGCAAAAAGTGGCAAATGTGTATGTAAATGTCAGGACGTCTTAGTGACCTGTTAGCTGGTCAGGCAACATGTTGTCCAGGTGATCCATTAAGGAGTGTGCCTCCTCCGATTGCACATGTACACATGTGTGAAGAGATTCTGGGTTCTGGGCATCAGTCTTCCAATGGTCACCTTTGAGCAGGTGGTGGTGGTGGTGGTGG